AGGAAGCCCGAGGCAGAGTTGCTCTGCCCCCGGCTTCCTGGAATCAGCCGCTGACCAGTTTCAGCAGCAGCTGACTTGGGGACGCCTGGGGTTCTTAAGTTGAATCTGTATGTAAGTCAGAACTGGCATCCAGATTCAGCCGCTGTTGAAAATGATCAGTTTCAGCAGCGGCTGAATCTGGACGCCAGTTCCAACTTACATACAGATTCAACGTAAGAACAAACCTACAGTCCCTATCATGTACGTAACCCGGGGACTGCCTGTAGAACCAATTTGGTTACGTTAAAGAGTATCAAGCCAGCATCAACCTGTCTACTTAAACATCTTTCCAGCAATAGCTATCACCAATTCACCTGAAAAAGTTGGTGTCCCTTCTGGGCATGCACACCAAGTAGTTTTAACCCTGTAAGATCTAGTTTGGATTAACTAGGTACAAATCATAACGGATAAAAGTCCGATGTTATGGAGAACAAAAGATCTAATTGCCTAAAGCTGTGTTACCGAAAGCGCTAATTAATATTGACTACTTATAACTTTGATTTATTCCTTTAAAATATTAGTATATTTCAATATCAGTAACTAACTTTAAGTACTTAACACTATTCTAATAGACCATTTCATTGTGTAAACAGACTCAAGTCTAATATGTCCTTCACACCCAAGTAAATTAAAACACATTAGAACAGTTTTTGCAAGATGACAAATAGTTTAACTTCAAGGAGCCATACCAAAACTGAGAGAGGTTAGCTTCACATTCATCTGAAGTATAATTAGGAGGGTAACAAAAATTTTTACTCACAACAAGTAAATTCATGATTGTGTGTCCTATCTCCCCAAAGAGAGGCTTTCGGTGTCTGATACTTATTACAGGAGTTGGGTACACTTTTAAAGGAAGAAAGAACATTGTGACAAAGGCCATTGCAAAATAATCTAAACCAATTAAAATGTGAAGCCAGCTGCAGCCTTTCTTTCTTTACCGCATGCAAAATGATACACTTCATTACTTATTGCAGGGAAATGACATCAGGAAACTGATAAAGTCTGTGCTTATTCTGATTCAGCAGCACAAAATGTCTGTATAGCAAAATGTAAAAGAACAGCACTCTGTACAAGTAGGAAGACTGCCACCGAAAAGTTGCATTGCAGTGGCACAGCCAGCCTATCAACTGGGGTGAAGTTCATGCCCACCTGGACTATGAAAAAGGCGCCACTTTTATTCTAATGCCATGTTTCCACTTAGCAGAGGAATGACACTTTGGCGATCAGTCTTCTGGGTTCAGTTTAGAGAGAGTCAAGTAAAAACTGGCTAAATTGAATGCTGAGGGCACTCCCGTCGACTGCAGTACTCCTCACTGTCACCAGGAGTAAGGGAAGTCAGCAGGGGAGAGTTTCTTCTGTTGACTTCCCACTGTGGGGCCACCACCGAAAATCAATATAAGGTACACAGACTCCAGCTATGCAATTCACATACTGGAGTTACACAACTTCCATGATTTTCTCTGCCAGTTTAGACCTGGCCTAAGTTTCCACACATTTCAGATAAATTAAACACACAACTAATTATCAATGAGATTTGTGTATTTTGCTCGTTTTACTCCATTTTGAACAGCCACAACCCTTATTTTCAATGGAATAAATGACAATTAACAGTGTCAATTTTATGGGGAAATCTGCTTATTAATGACCTATATGGAGTTAAAGAATTTAGTCCATAAAGTATTAGACACTAGCATTAAGTTTACATTAATAAGATCAAAGCTCTGTTTTCAGTACACTTCACAAGTATTACATCTGATCATTCAGAAAAGTTTCAATATACTATGGTACAACACAATCAAAAATCCTTTGTCAGCACGCTCAGATTTCATATCACAGGTTGGGTTAGCAAACATTTATCTTTGTTTCTCATGAAACAAAATTGGAAGAATCAATATTTTATGGTCAAAACTGATATTTTAAGTACATCTACCCTGACTAAATTGATACCGTTTTAAGAGGTGTTCAAGCAGCATGAAATCTGAACCACATTTACAAAACTTTAAAACAAAACAAAAACAAACAAAAGCAGGTTTGATGTAAAAAATACAAATTTAAGGCCCAAGCCTTTGGAGAATCACACTCATGTTTAATTTTTGAAAGGAATAGCATTCACAGTGCACAAAGTTACATGTGCGTATGTCTTTGCAGGATTGGGCCTTAACATACACACTTAATGTTAAAACTTACCCCCATATTCTGCTCCCAATCTCAACATTAAACGAATTGGAAAAACCTTTGCCCATGGTATTTCCAGTTTCTGAATGAGAATGCCACAAAGAAAAGGATTATTTGGTAACAGGAGACTGTCAAGTTTCTGCAAAGTTGGTGCAACAAATAGGAATCCTCCATGATCCTTGCTACCAAGAAAGCTTTCAGTGAAGGTAACATTTTCCAAGTTTCCTATGTACTTTCCTAGTAAAAGAAAAGTGTAGTTAAAGTCTTAACATTTAAGGGTTTTTTCCATGGTGAAGTATGCATTCTTACACATGTTGGTATCTGGAAGAAATCCACCCGTTACTATGTCAACTAAGGATGTTAAGGACTAGTAGGCTATCCGATAAGCAACTGCCTTGCTTATCGAATAGTCTGTCGACTAACCTATCCCCCCCACCCTTGCTGTCTCTATAAGATAGAGCAGCAAAGGGGAAGATGTGGGGGACAAAAGGGGTACTTCAAAGCGGCGGGGCCACACAGCAGAGCCAGGGATCAGCTGTGCAGCGGCTGCTCCTTTGAAATACTATCTCCGTGTTTCAAAGGGGCAGCTGTGGAGCCCGGGAGCATTTCCACAGGATGCCACGTGGAACCCGGCTCTATGGCTTTGAAATGCACAAGACACCCTACTGGGGACTGTTGTACATTTCAAAGCAGGCACCCATGTGCAGCCCAGAGTCAGCAGGGTAAGAGCTCTTAGGCACTTCCGCATTCCTCCTTTGAAATGCACATCGACTAGTCAATAGAAATTCCATCGACTACTCAACTAGTCAGTTCTCCACATTTTAACATCCCTAATGTGATCATCATCTCGCTTGTGCATTTTTACAACAACAGGGTGCATATTGCAGCTTTTCAGGACAACAGGATACAGACCTTCTTCACCCTTTCCTCTTATTTAAGTCCTTTATAGTTTTGTACATTAAAAATTGGCTGTTTTTAGAAGCCAAATGCACTAAAAATATTGTGTTTGAGCTTTGGTACTATCAACATGGTATTGCATTTTGTTTTTATCACTTTTATCAGTTTCACAACATTTTTTTCCAACTCAGATCTTTTTAATAAAACATTCACAAAACTATTGATATTTCACAAAAATTCTGTTCAGCAAGTCTATGTACATAATATTAGTTAAGTTTTTCCAATCAAGCTCTAATTCAAGAAACCATTTAAGCATGTACTTAACTATTTAAAGTTAGGGATGTAAAACCCTGTTTAATCAGTTAGCTAGTTAAACATTATGTTTAACCAGTTAATCACAAAGAGTATAGGTAGGGGGCCCACTCCAGCTTGGTCGCTGGTTAACCACATCCAGAAAAGCATTCACATCCCTATTCAGGACAGCTCTTGTCTTGCTGGACCAGGGCTCAAAGCATTTACATCTACAACCCATCATACCAAAGTTTGTTTTTTTTTAAAACGGATGAGACAAAAATGCAGTGTGGTAGCTTATAGTATAGTGAAAAAAAATGAAACATTCCTAAATTAAATCGCCTGTATAACTTTGACAGAAGCTGAGAAAATAGTTATGAGTGCTGAGAACTTTCAAACAAAATTGGTAGGAACCTTCTTAGAATATGTCAGCAATAAGATATCTTAAGCTACAAATTAAAACTCCATACCTTTCACTGCATCCTTATATATGTTAACAAACAACGTGAATATTTCTTTAGGAATAACATCTTCATTTGGCAAACACAACAACATAATGATAATTTCTGCCTGACCCAAGCCATGTAATCCGTTTGTTGCGAAGTACCAGCATTCTTCTGAAGAATCTTAGTGATAAGAAAAAAAAAGTTTTTTTTGTTTTTTTTTTTTAAAAGATTCCCCTATTTGGTATTCGATTTTAGAATCCAAATTACAAGTTGGAATAAATAACCTGTGGACCTCTATCCCTTTAATCCTTTCAGTGCAATATTGCTCTCTACAACTTTAAAAACAATTACCTGAAATTTCAGAAAGCACTGGATAACCCACTGCACAGGAAAGAGTAGCTCTCATACGGACACTTTTCTCACGCCGTATCATCTAGAGCAGCAGTTCTCAAACTTTTTGGGCTCCAGAGCCCTTTACATGCGTAAAAATTTATGCAGAGCCCCAGCGGTCCACTGATAGTATGTGTTGTACCTATCGATGTTTCCAGTTTGTCAACCTCGCGGAGCCCCTGGAGATGTCTTGCAGAGCCCTTGGGCTCCGCGGAGCACAGTTTGAGAAAAACTGATCTAAAGACTCAGGGGAAACATCACAATCAGAAACACTGAACAAGATAGTTGACTAATGGGCATCAACAAAACTGACAGGATACAGATTCTGAAGAAATGGTACACACTTGCTTTCTCACTGAATCAAAGTGCAAATTAAAGTTTTAATTGCAAAGGCAAATTTCACTGTGGAAGCCTAGGCATAGGCTTGTATATTTGAATGAAACAAGTAGTACATATTAGGGATGTTAAAAATGTGTTAATTGACGTAAACGTGTAACCACTAACATATTCAAACCATGCTGCTTCCTTTGGGGGGCGGGGAGAAGGAGGAGAAGAGATGGCTCTGCGGAATCAGTATGCGTGGGGACCTAGCTTAAAAAGCTAGCTCCCCATACATACTGGCTCCCACCTGATGCCCCCTCCTGGCGCTGTTGCCTCTCTATCAGAGGCAATAGAGCTGGAGAGGGGCCTTGCATGTAAACGTGTACACATTTCCTCTTCCACATCACTGATAGGTCTTCATTTATCATAACTTCTTGGATAAATAAGTATGCTACACATAGGTGCTACATTTCTGTTTAAGTTACTAATGAACAGGACATCAAAAACTCATTTTAATAATAAAGGTCAGATAGGACCACTGTGATTATCTAGTCTGACATCCTCTGTAATACAGGCCATAGGACTTTCCCAAATTAATTCCTAGAGCATCTCTCAGAAAAAAAAAAATCCAATCTTCATTTAAAAATGGTCAGTCATAGAGAATCTGCCAGTACCTTGATAAGTTGTTCTAATGGGTTTTTTTAGCCTTACTATCAAAAATTTACCTTATTTCCAGCCTGAATTTGTCTAGCTTCAACTTCTAGCCACTACATCATGTTATACCTTCTTCTGCTAGACTAGAAAGTCCATATTATTAAAAATTTGTTCCCTATATGGGTAGTTACCAACTGTATTTTATGTCACCCTTGAACCTTCTCATTTTTGAACTAAATAATTGAGCACCCTAATACAGTCTGCCTATAAAGGCATGCTTTCTAGTCCCTTAATCATTCTTGTGGATCTTCTCTGATCCCTCTCCATTTATCAACATCATTCTTAAATTGTGAATGCTGGAACTGAGCAGTGTTCCAGCCACAGTCACACCAGTTCCAAATACAAAGGTAAAATAACTTCTCCACTTCTACTCAACATGCCCCGATTTATACATCCCACAAATTTACATTGGCTCTTTTGTCCACAACATCTTATAGAGTCATAATCATAGAGCTGGAAGAAACCTCAGAAGGTCATCAAGCCCAGCCCTCTGCCAAAGGCAGGACCAATCTAACATATAAAGGAAAATGTTTGTAAGTTTGTGCTCTAATATCTTGGACACTATAAGAGCTACCGCAATCAAATTTTGCAGGGGATAACCTTTCCTCCAGGAGAAGGTTTTAAGGTACTTTTGGACCTCATCGGGCCCGATCTCAACCTGTAAAAATATAAAATAACCCGCTGCACTGCGCTGCCCAACCTAGGTCACGAGCTTGCCACCTGCGGCCCCCAGCTCTGTCCGGGACTAACTCCAACCCGACACGCACAACAGCTTGGGCAGCTGTCCTGCCCCCCACAGCTACAGTTACCAGGCAGTCTTTAAATAAAAAAATAAAAATAAAATAAAAAAAAAACCACACGGACACACTTGATCAGGGGCGGGGGGAAGGGGAGAGGAATCGACCGAGAAGTGAGCAGGACTGACCAGGAAGGAGGGGGGGGAGACCGGGAAGCAGAGTTGGCGGGGAGGAGGGGGGCCAGGGGAGATTGGGAGAAGGGCGGCCAGCGGGAAGCAGAGCTGGTTGGGGGGGAGAAGGGGTGGCCGGCGGGAAGCAGAGCTGGTCGGGAGAGATTGAGGTGGGGGTGGGGGGCGGCTGGCGGGAGGGGGGCG